CGCAAAACTTTGAATACAACATTTTGGCTTCATATGAATCTGAGGAGTTCGATCTTTATTAAAAGATTTCATTTTATTTTGGCCTTATGGGATTTTCGGTGCCTTTTTTAGACTTAGCAAATTTTCCTTTCATTGAATTTAAACGAAATACATACCTTTACCCTTTCGACACAATACGTTTTTAATTTCTCTAGCCTCCTGTATCAAAATATGAGTTTTCATAAAAAGTGGACTTGGAAACTTTTCAATCTATGAACATAAATACGTTTATAAGTATGTTTGCATATGCATTTAAGCAAATCCCTAAAAAAAACATTTGTCGTATACAAGCAGTAACATTTCTTTGGTAAATTATTTAAAATCATAGAAAAACTGAAGAGCAGAAATTCGAATAACTTTGAACAAATAAATGTAAACCAATATTTTCAATGAAAATATTAACATGTAATTAGAAAAATTTTTTTTGAAACACTTATGTATTATATATGTATGGATATTATGTATGCATGTGGAAATTTCGGCGAAACATAGAAAAAATTTAATTTTAACTTTATATTATATTATTACACCGTGCGACAGTAAATTTTATACACAAAAAAATGAATACATATATTCGTGAAAATATGAGTAAATTATAGTAAAACTGCGTACTTAGTTTAGAATTATAGCAGAATAAATTTTTTGATGCATAAGGACGAATGGGCATGGAAAATGTCCTTTACAAATTTTATACTTAAATTATGGCATTGTGGGTATTCATGGAAACGCGTAAATCATAATCGCGTAAACCTCGTAAATAATTCGATTTTTCATACAAAATTAAATAAGTTTACGAGGTTTACATAGTTACGAGCCATTTACGCGCTTTGATGAATTGCCCTATTATATTTTTGTTGATAAGTAATTACATTATAAAAGGAAAATTTTTAACTTTGCGCGTTCGAAAAAAAATATATAGTAGAACTCATCTGCTTTTTGTAAAATAGTCCTGAATATTAAATTAGGCGAGTGCTTAATCTATATTATATATGGACCACACCAAAAGCTTCCTTTCATATAAAAACTCGTACGTGTCCCACCTGTGACAAACGTTGTCACACAGAGGTGGCAGAGGAATTTCGGCTTTTTTTTATAATAAAGCAATAATTTTTGTTGTAGTTTTTGCTTTGTTTGTATTCGTGGTTCTTTGTTTTATTATAAGACATCAAGTTCACACAGAAAAGTGAAAGAAATTCGCAGAGTTTCCGTAAAGTATATCTGCTCCAAAAAGCAGGTTCTTTTTTTTCTTGCCCCACCCGTACAGAAGAAATGACTCAGATTTTTTTCATATAAAAGTAAGCTGGAACTTTTCTCGTATTTTGTAATAACTCATAAAACAGTCGATTAGGTGTAGCTTTATCAAAATGTAGAATTGTTGAGTACTTTATACTTAAATTTAAACAAGAAAAAAGAATTTTTCTGTATAAATGTCGCACCCGTGACGGTGGAATCGCCCACATCATATATGTAATAGGGATGTGCAGTAAATCAATTGAAAGAAAAGGCTGATTAATAGAAACATAATTATGTAATTCATCAAAGAATAATAATTTTTGATTAATCAAAGTAAATAATTTATCGATTATTTATACATATGTTATTAATCAGAATCTGATTAATTATAAAGCTGAATAATTGCTGATATATATTGTTTTATTTAAAAATTGGAGAAAAAAATTATAAGTGGCAGATATTTCGACAAGTAAATATGAACAAATAAAATTCAAAATTAAAATACATATGTTTGAAAAATAAAAATGTATACATACATACGCCCATGCATAAGTACCTATTACTACGTTTATACGCATGCATAAGTCGCTTTAATTCATTTCGCCGCGATTCGAAACATATGTATAAACTGAATTTCAATTCGCTTTGAAAGAGCGAAGTGTTTTGGCTCACATTCCATTTCAAATCGGTAGTTTAATTCTCCAGACAGTTAGAAAGAGTGTATAAACACCGCTCCCACTCAAAGCGAATTGGAGATCAGCTGTTCCACTCAAATTCCAAATAATCGCATCAGTATTTAAAGCCTGATTAATAACAATAGTTCTTTTTCTTTGCCACGATTTTAAAATGCCGAATAAAACTAGATTTTTATCACTTTCCACTATGTTAACTTATAAAATGTCAAATGAAAACTGCTGATTTTGTTTGCTTTTGAAGACGGTTACTTTGATGCCGATATAAAGCCGTAAGTATAGACACTAGAGCGAAATGTGTACGGTGTCAATCCGCTTTCAATTAAGTCGATTATTCTGTGCGTATAAACGTAGTAACCGATTTGAAAACAAAGTCGAGTCAATACACTTTTGAATTTCTGAGCGTATTGAAATTTGGTTTATGCTTCCGTTTTGAATCACAGCGAACTGGGTCAAAGCGCTTTATGTGTCGGTATAAACAAGGTAATAGTTTTGTTTCGATTTGAACGATTTGATACAAACAAGCACTTGTACCTCACACGAATCAAGCATGAATATACGTACATACACACGCAACACACTTTAGTATCGATACAACACAGTTTCGTTCCCGCACAATTTGTTGTGTTGTATTGATTCACGTTGATGGTGCATATACGGAACATGCGAGTAACGAGATTATTATGTGATTCGATACTTTGAGTCAGGGGTTGTATTCTTTACTCAGTAACGAATACATACGGTTTGCTACAGCTCTATTGACAACGCTAAAATAAATTTGGAAAAATTGTTCAATGGGCTCGAATCGGCTTTTGTTGTAAATATTAACCAAATCTTCACGAAATGTATTTGTCATAGATATTTTTTTTGTAATTAGGGCCTGTGCCAGACGCTAGTCAAGTTATCTGGAATAGAAATTTTTCACATTTGAGGTCAATAGAATATGGCGATCACAAAGGACTAGTAAAAACTTTGATAGCGAATTTAAACATAAAGCCATAAACAGCAGAATGAAGAAGAGCGCAATGTTCATATACACTTTATATCAAGGGTGCACAACAAGTTTAAAAATGAATATATGCCTCCGCGGGAAAATTTTTGTTTTAAGTATGTATCTAAATCTAGCGCCAGACTATTCTTCCCATTAAATATGTATTTTAAATTTAATTGAATCCCTCTTTATTTGGACAGAAAAGGAATATTACTTGTAAATTGGCTCGGCAGAAAATAAAAATTCTCGCATCATAATAAAAAGTTTTCTCACCACAGAAATTTGTTCTCGTTTGGCACATGCCCTAAATGTATTTTACAATTTACACCATTACATCTTGCGTTTTAAAAAAATATTATCATTTATATCTCCGTTAGTTGAAAAAATATGTATGCATGTAATACATAAATTGTTTGTGTATCTCTCGACATTGTTTCGCATTAATGATTCATTTAGTTATTCGCATGATGATGATCATTAGATTTTATGCTTAAGCTAAGTATTAAAAACGAAAAAGTAGAGGGTGGTGACGACGTGTTCAGCGAAAACCTAAACAAATCTGAACAATCGCTAAAGTTCAAAAGTTGCATAGTAAAGTGCATAGTAAAATTAATTAAGTATAACAAGTATAAGAGTTAATAATCTTGCGGTAGTTGACAACGACCATACTGTTAAGCCATTGCACTTGCTGAATCCGCAGGTAAATGTTTCATTGTAATTAAGTACATATCGCACTTACATACATATGTACAATGTTTTAGGGATGTGGCACTGATAACCGAATCAACATGTAAGTATGCAAATATGTATGTATGTATTAATGGTACGCATTATATTGCTCGTGGTAAAAATGTTGACGGTGGTAAACGGCGTGGCGGTTGCGTGCTGTTAATACGTTGCGATACTTAGAACCAAAAAAACAAGGATGGTTGAATGGTTTTGCTAGTTTTCTACTCTTATGCACATGTAAACTTTTGGGTTACCAGCGTTGGATGTTAAGTTGGTTGTTGTTGGTTGTTATTTGTTGTTAGCAGTATCGCTAGGCTTAGGCAAAAGTGGTGTGGTAGCGACGTTTTCGCGTTCGCCATTGTGATCGGATTGATCGTTTACTGGATCTGATGTAATTTGGCTACTTAAAGAGCCCACATCCAAAACTTCACCACTACTACTGCTGTGCAAATTGTGCGGAGGCGGCGCGTTGCTATGGCTCTGTAATGAAATGTCCTTCTCGACAGGAGAGAAATAAGTTTTCGAGTATTAGAAAATATGTAATGAATAAAACTATATATATTGCTAAGCATTGCAAATACTAACATTTAATGATGGTGAAGCCGTATTACTACCGGTTACAACAGATGTCTTATGATTGCTGCGCGCCCTTATTTCATCTTCGTTCACAGAGTGTAATAACTGCAGCGAAAAAAGTTTAATTAAAATATGTTTATGTACATCAATTAAAAAATAACAAAGTGGTTGTATTATTTAACGAAATAAAACTAGATAATTTATATTTGTCTTGACTATTCTATGCGATACATTTCATTTATAGATTATGTTTGCGTATTTGACTGAACGTTTCGCACTTCATCTGCTGTTGGTCTCTTTTATGAAAATCATTAGTTGTGTTTTTTTACAAATTATCCAGTAACTTGCCAGTAACTCTCCAGTAACTTTATTTTTAAGAATTCGCTCTCATAGAAAAAATTTGCAAAAAAGTACGTTAACGCTATTCCAGTAATAATTTGCAAGTTTCATGAATAGCTGATAAATTGGTTGTTTATTCGCAGCAAATTCCTAATCAAACAATATATTTTATATTTAAACAAGTTTATTTTGTGAAACTCAACAATAAAAA